AGTCACATGACTTATCCCACCTGGTACCCATTTTCTCCTGGGTGAACAGTGAAATTGGAATTATTGATGTGGAGTTATTATAAACACACAGAGTTACAAAAGTAAAACTGCAGAGAATGCAAGGACAACAGTTGATACAAGTGCATCAAGAGATGTTGTTCCGCCAGTGTGAATTGGGAAGCCTCCATTGTTGTTGTTGTCATCCGTCCTGCATGAGCAGGATCCAAACGCAGCTAGAAATTTGGTTGTTCTAAGATCTGAGTTTCTGGACCTCAAAGTCAATAGGTAATCCTGCATTACACCCTTGGCAAGACAAGGATGCTTCTCAGCCTCAGCAATTGCTGCAGGACATTCTTGACGACATCCTCCGTAGGGACTGCAGTTGTTCAACACCTGCAAAATGGATAAAAGGTAAATGTCTCAAGTACTACAAGTCAAAACTAGGGCTGGCTATCAATAAAGTTCATAGAGATCGATAACCGTTATCTAAATATCCATCGATTATCGATAAATATTGGAGAAGTAACTTTGAGCAAAAATGACAAAAAATTCTGAAAGAAACAAATATATTTCACATCACTGGTGAGTGGTGACATGTTATTGCATGGATTATTAACAAAATAGCGTCCTGAAGATAATTTAGAAGCAGCCTGTGAATAAAGACCCTATTTTGTGTATCTGAGTACATTGAAATATTTTTGTTGCAATAGTTCATGTACAATATTATCGGTTACATAGTTTCCATATGGATAATCATTAATAATGATTTCCATTGACGATATTTCAGATTATCGATCATTTTAGGATGCCCTGGTCATAACAGTTGCGGTTGAATAATGAGGTCTTTAGGTTGAGGGAATGAGGTGGTATTTCAGTACAACATTTTGTTAATGCTTATGACATCCTGAATGCTTTCCAACATAAACAACTGTTTTATAATGAAATAAAATAAACGACCAAACTCTTTAGATACATGAATATGTATCATAAAGGGAACGTTATTTCGTTTTCTAGAATGCGACGTGTATGTATATTTTATTCTGAAACTGGTTTACTATATATTTTTAGACTCCTCCGAAAATATATGGTTGCTCACATACTTGAAATATTGTGATCTTTGATTCATTTTTAAATCAATTCGAAAGTTGGTGTATATAAATTTTGTTGTTGATCTTCGTTTCTTTTATTCATTCATGAACACGTCACAATTTAATTCTGGGCTCACAAAAGTCCAGAAACTCTCCGCATTGTGGCAAATTTCTGAGTGGGGATATGAAACATGCAATTGTTATGAATATATGCCAAGGTTGAAAAAATGAAAATTTATTTTTCGAAAACTCAAAATTTAAACTCGCTCGCCCATAGGCGAGAATGTTTAGTTTCGCTCAGAAATCATGTTTTGGAGGTTGTAAATAAAGAATGTATGCTTATGCGTATCATGACACAAAATTTAACTCATTCTGACTTAATTAGACTAATTTAGAGCGATGTTAAAAAATCTCGCCCATAGGAGAAAAAAACATTTGGCCCATGGGCGAGAATATTTACATTTACTCAAAATACATCCTTTTCCATGTTTTGGAGGTGTAAATGAATGAAACTATGCTTATGAGCATCACGACACAAATTCCACTTGTTTGACTTAAATCGGCTAATTTAGAGCGATATTAAAAAATCTCGCCCATGGGCGAGAATATTTAATTTTCCTCAAAATACATGTTATTCCATGTTTTGGAGATTGTAAATGAATGAAAGTACGTTTATGAGTATCATGACACAAAATCCAACTGATTTTGACTTAATTGGGCTAATTGAGAGCAATATTGCCAAAACAATTTGGCCCATGGGTGAGAAAATTTACTTTTACTCAAAATACATGCATATAATACGTGAAGGATGTGGTCCGAAAAGTCACAATTGGCATAATTGTTAATTATTGAATAGTTTTAGATATGATTATGAATTAGTCTTAACATTTACAACCATTCAGTGAGCACTTAAAGACACAATGTCACACACTTTCGACAATATTTTGACCTATATCATATATATATTGGGGCATATGAACTCACATTTTCTTTTGATGCAATAAGACTTATTATCACTTATCACGAATTTCCTGAAATCCATAAATGAAACGCCGAGGCGAACAGCTTCCAAACAGAGATGTGAACAATTGATCCGTACATCGAAACTGTCGCACGCGGTGTTGTCGATGTTTGCCAAACTTGCTTCAATCACAAATTGTGCTTAGATTTTCGTAAAAAGAGCGCTCCAAGGGACATTTCAGTTATGGTAATATTTTAACGGATAACTTGATGATTTTATTTAATAATCTTTGGATTAGCCGGTTTTCATCAAAATAATACTTCTGGAATGCTCAGATCATGATTTAAAATTGTGGACAATATTATTACATATATGTTCATCGCAAAACAATTTTGGTAATGTCAAAGATCAATGTTAATAGAGAGTGCATATAATGAGAAAAATATGAGATAAACTTAATATCCTTAATTTTGGCCTACATCTGGTACCTTTTGAAAAAAAGAAAAGAAAAAAGGCAAGTCACCAGAAAAAAACCGGGATATAATGGTACAAAAAAAACAAGAGATCCATTAATTCGCTCCTTCTGTGGTTCTCACAAAATCATAATTTTATACTGCATAGATAGCTTTCATCGTAAATAGCCCCCACTCATACAAATGAAACAAGAAACAATCACACACACGCACGCACGTACGCACAAAAAACCAAACCAAACCAAACCAAACACCACAACACAGACACAACACACATACCGTAGAAAGGCCACACAGCGTGGAAGTTCAATATTTGGTCTATCAACAGAACTTAGTCTAATTTGGGAGTAATTCAGAAATATGTCTTAAACATATTTTATTCCATTCAATAAGAAAGAAAAGGATTGGCAAACAAGCCTAAGTGGCTTAAATTAATGCCGCTGCATACACGTAAAGGTTCACATTTATGCGTAATGTTGAACGTAATAGTTTTGACAAGATATCTCTGGAGAATAACAATCTTGGAATTCAACAATTTATCTTAGTTTTGTTTCGTGGCCAGTTGATACAAATAGGAAAATAAGAGAAACTACATAACTTTTGTGAATCAAATAAAATATAGAATATTCATATCCATCTGATGTGATACAGAGTCATCACCGTTTAGCACATCCTGAAGGACGAAACCTTTCACATAGAAATATGATTCGTATGAAGTGATAATATATTTAGCACACGTGAAAAAATAGTGGAATGCATCCTCATATTCTTGTGAGCAGGAACAAGAATCATTATCAGAAACAAAACGATTATGTTTATCACTATTTAAACCACTGCATCCCAATCTAATTCAGAATGAGTGAGTGAGTTTAGTTTTACGCCGCACAATATTCCAGCAATATCGGCGGTCTGTAAATAATCGAGTCTGGACCAGACAATCCAGCGATCAACAACATTAGCACCGATCTGCGCAATTGAGAACCGATGACGTTTTAACCAAGCCAGCGAGCCTGACCCCCCGATCCTGTTTATGATCTCTGGCGTTCTATTTTTGAACTTGTCACAACGGCCCAATGGACCATATTGGCCTAATAGGCGTAGTGATCTCTAGCGTTCTCTTTTTGAACGTGTCATAACGGTCTCATTGGCCATATTGGCCTAACAGGCTTTATGATCTCTAGCGTTCTATTTTTGAACGTATCATAACGGCCTACGTTCTATTTTTGAACGTGTCATAACGGCCTAATTGGCCATATTGGCCCAACAGGCTTTATGATCTCTAGCGTTCTAGTTTTGAACGTGTCATGAGGGCCTAATTGGCCATATTGGCCTAACAGGCTTTATGGTCTCTAGCGTTCTAGTTTTGACTGACTGACTGACTGAGTTTGGTTTTACGCCGCTTTTAGCAATATTCCAGCAATATCACGGCGGGGGACACCAGAAATGGGCTTCACTCATTGTACCCATGTGGGGATTCGAACCCGGGTGTTCGGTGCGACGAGCCAACGCTTTAACCACTAGACTACCCCACCGCCCCCGTTCTAGTTTTGAACGTGTCATAACGGCCTACGTTCTATTTTTGAACGTGTCATAACAGCCTAATTGGCCATATTGGTCTAATTAGCCATATTGGCCTAACAGGCTTTATGATCTCTAGCGTTCTAGTTTTGAACGTGTCATAACGGCCTAATTGGCCATATTGGCCTAATTAGCCATATTGGCCTAATAGGCTTTGTGATATCTAGCGTTCTATTTTTGAACGTGTCATAACGGTCTCATTGGCCATATTGGCCTAAAGGCTTTGTACTCTCTGGCGTTCTAGTTTTGGACGTGTCATACACATTAACTGTGCATCTTTTTATACCTATTTGTAATGAAACTTACCTTGTCCATAACCATTTTAGTGGCAGGATGTGAATTGTTGAAGAAATCAGCAATCCTGCATCCCATAAGTGCTCCCCCTTCCAAGTCACAGGTGTTGATGGTGTTCCATGTGACGCAGACGTTGTTGCTGCTGGCGCGTTTAGGGTAGTAGGTGAAAGTGCCGTAACACATCTCGTTACTGATGGCGAACCCGTAGAACGTCGTCTTCGTCGCAGACAAAGACTGGTACACGCACGTTGTCTTTACAGCATCGCCACGACGAATAGCGACTGGTGGATCGTATCTGATTGACAGAGAGAGTTATTTTGGATCAGTGCAGCTTTCAAGGATATTCAGCCTCTTTAAGGCTTAAAGTTTTGTTTTCTTGTCATTTAGCACCGCAATCATTTTAATCCTACTGAATGGTGTTAGAATGCACAGAATCGAGTCTGTTATATTTTCTATATGTTTGTGAGTGAGTGAGTGAGTTCAGTTTTACGCCGCTTTCAGCAATATTACAGCAACATCACGGCGGGGGATACCAGAAAGAGGCTTCACACATGCACCCATGTGGGGAGTCCAACCCAGGTCTTCGGCGCGACGAGCGAACGCTTCAACCACTAGGCTATTCCACCACCCCAAAATAGAAGAACCATATAAATGGCCTTTAGGTTACAATAAATACACAAGCCGACGGCCATATTTGGCTGTTGTTTAAGACCAGACACAGTTATATGCCCGCTAATGATTCCGGAGTGTGAACAAAACAGCGTGGACCGGACAATCCACTGATTGACATCAATTTCATCATGTACACCATTTGTATACGATAACATGTATCATAGTCAGCGAACAGCCATGAACTGCCGATAACCAGTTCTAACTCACTTGACCGGTCCATTTCGTTAAATGAGTTTTCTAACGTACATTTTGTCTATATGTTGTTAACCCGTGAAGATCCGGGTTAGAATTGGTCTTCAGTAACCCATGCTTGTCGTAAGAGGCGACTAACGGGATCGGGTGGTCAGGCTCGCTGACTTGGTTGACTCATGTCATCGGTTCCCAATTGCGCAGATCGATGCTCATGCTGTTGATCACTGGATTATCTGGTCCAGACTCGATTATTTACAAACCGCCGCCATGTAGCTGGAATATTTCTGAGTGCGGCGTAAAAGTAAACTCATTAACTCACGTTATTTTGTTAAGCAATAGTGAGTGAATATTGTTTTAGGACTACGTCCTGATATAAAACACAGGGTCCGCGTGACTAAGGCTAGCTAAAAAGATCGATAATCGGAAATATCGTCGATGGGAATGAGGAATAATTCTTATCAATTTGAAACCGATAACTGATAATATCGTACATAAACTATTGTGATGAAATATGTTTAATCTACTCAGAAAACAAACAAAGTTAGGGCTGCTCCTAAAGTATGTTCAGGAGGGCGTTTTGTTGGTAATCCAAACCTACATATGTCACCATTCGCCACTAATGTGACTCGTGCTGATTTCTTTCAGATTGTTTAGTTATTTTTGTTCAAATTTACTTCTCCGATATTTATCGATAATCGATCGATATTCATCGACCGATCTCTATGATCTATATCGATAGTCATTAAATTTGTATGTTGTGTTAGAACATTTAAACACAATCGTCGATAACACACTTTTTATATCGATAATCATTAATATGTCCGATTCGTTTATATCCAGAACAATATCTTCTCGACTACCAAATAACAGCTCTATTTTCACAGCAGAAGCTAACGCCATATTAACAGCTCTGAAATATATTAATAAACACCGTAAATATAACAAATATATACTATTTTGCGATTCTCTTTCGTGTCTTCAGGCTATTAAAAATATTTCTTGTAAACATCCACTTTTATTAGAAATTATTGGATTGTATAATGAGCTTGCTACTGGCCAATGCGACATCGTCTTTTGTTGGTTACCCAGCCACGCTGACTTTTTCAGGGAATATAATGGCTGATCTTGCTGCTAAGGCAGCACTCAATAAATCTGTGACACCACTTCTGATCCCATACTCTGATTACAAAGCTGCTATTAGATCTTATATCCGTGATCTGATGCAAAAGAATTGGGACACCCAAGTAGGTATAAATAAATTGCATGCAATAAAACTACCTGGGTTGTCAGTCCAGATTTGAAGAGGTCATTATACGACGATGTCGTATTGGCCACACAAGATATACTCATGAGTACCTATTAAAAGGTGAGGATCCTCCGTTTTGTATCCCTTGTGGTGAAAGAATCACAGTTAAGCATGTCTTGCTTGACTGTGTTGAATATTCCATCACAAGGGAAATCTCAAATCTCAAATCACGAACCATTAAGGATCTTTTTACTTATATAAGTTCTCATTTAATTATTGCATTTTTAAAAGAATTAGACTTGTTAACTTATTTGTAAATAGATACATATTTCATTATTGGTAGTTTAGATTAGTAACTGAGATTGTTAGTGGCTGTACCCTCAAAGGGGGTTGAAGTAGTGTAAAGTTATTGACCTCCTGAGAGGGTACGTAAGTCCCGAAACATTCAAAGGAAATTTAAATTTACCATCTGTTTTAAATGTAGTATTCTTGTCATTTTAATTTTGGTTGAATTTGACTTCAATGGCCAGCGGCTGAAGGGATGATATAAATCCAGCTAGGGTCTATGCAGGTAGCAAAAGTACTGTAAGTCCCCATGGTCCCTAATTTGGTGATCTACCTTCAGTTGTTGGCGATCTATAGCCAGTTTTTATATTGTATTGTCCAAATAGTGCTATTAGTTTTAACTTTCCACACTAGTTTTAGTTGAAATTGTGATATTTTAGTTATTTTACTGTCCTTAGTAGACAGGTTTTTATCATATACGTATATTCTATTTCAATGTCAAATATGTTCTCGTCACGATATGGCTGAGATATTGCCGATGTGACGTTAAATATTAACTCACTCACTCACTCCGATTCGTTTAAGCACAACAATTATGATGTATTTGGAGATCTTACGACATGCTTATTGGATTGTCATAGCTGTAGTTCATTTGATTGGTGAGGAACCGCCTTTCATCTCCGCTGAAGAGTTCCACAGTCTGCGCGATGCCTGGAGAAAAGACAGTCAAAATATATTTAGTTATCATCTAATTGGGGGTGTTATCGGTGCAATAAAGCAATCTGATAAACTTGGTATCCCAATCTGATAACTATGCAAATTACGTCAATCCAAGAACTACTTCACAAAACTCCAAACACGCCATGCGAATCCTGAAACGTTTTAACATTTCATTGATGACGTCGTCGCGAGATTACATTATCTTCATATAAATTCACGTACGATTTGCTTCTTTTATAGAGTAATTTTAAGAATGACAATATATGATAAAGAGATTATTAACCACGTGTGTTTCCGTATCATTATCATGTATTAGGAATACAAATTGTATTATGCGAGCCTATTTATTACTAATATATGATATTAATGATAAGGAAACACACTCGGTTAATAATATAAGAATAATGCTATTTTTGAGGGCATTATCATTTGCAGAAGCCCGAGGTCTTCCAATAACTGCCCGACGAAGGAGGGCAGTTGAAAAAGCCCGAGGGCTTCTGCAAATGATAATGCCCTCAAAAATAGCATTACCGTTATTATTGCTAAAAATACATGAAATTTGTGTTGAAAAGAAAGAGGAAGCAATGAAGGAATTTGACTGTAAGTATTCCAGCTATATGCCGGCGGTCTGTAACACCACACAAAATGACTGTATTACCCAAATTTACTAACGTTAGTTAAAAAATCTACGTTTCATCCGGCGGCCATATGAACAACGTTTGAAATCTACGTATCATCTGGCTGTCATATTTACACACGTTTAAAGGGGTGTTCAAATATACGAATACTCAACTCTGCATTTACATGTATTTCACAGGTGTGTAAATCTGGCCATTGATTTCATGTGTTTTCTAGCATGTGTAACATATGTAAATGCTGTGATTGTAGGACATGCATTTCAATACCTTTGAAATCTCGTATGACCAGGGTTAGGTTTGTCATATATTTAGTACACGCATAAATGGTTGGTAATGGGTAAATATAAGTGTTACAAGATTGACACTACACATGTATTTCAATGGCTGTGTAATATAACTGTCGCATCGGGTTCGTTAGCGCGTCCGACCACGCCATAATGCACTGAGGTCATAAGAAACATATGGTGAAGTGATACCCGTGACTGGTGACCCGGTACTGATAAGCTTTTCTGATCAGTAGGTTATATCGTTCATATTGTTTGTAAAGGAAATTACATTACATCTTAAATAACTGACCTTAGGTACACTTCTTACGTATTACATACAAAGAGACACTGCTTAGTGCAATAAAACACAGACAGATGTGTTCAGACGGACATGAACCGGTAGGTCCTTAATTTTAGTGCACACTTGTATGAGTTACCCGATTGATCATAGCTGCACAAATTTCATTATCTATACTTTCATAAAAGATTATTACAATGTATTACTGATTCCCTGAGTAAATTTCGGTTGTAAATGAGAAAACATGTGCATACTTGGTATGGCCTCATTTTTATTTTCAATACAAATATTATCCCATACGGACGTTTTCTCAAATTTCAGTTACCCGACGTAATATACAATTACTGTACACCTATTTTGATTCCAGCTTTTGGTTAGGTTATAGAAAATTCTAGTGATTGCAATTAGTTCATCAACTTAGATAAGTAAGCATTTTCGATAATTATTGAAAGTTTACTACATGACAGGATTTATGTTGACTCATGCGTTTTCATTTTTGCTTTTGACTTTTTCACTCAGACCCACCCAGCACGCTTTTCGTATGCAGATTGGGTACGTGACTCTTCTGAGATGGTACATCCAGTCTTGACTATTCTACGCCAGAGCGTTCGGTCGAGGGAAATTATTTCCCAGTTCTACCAGTCTGTGTTGAGGCACTTTAGCGATGCCTTCAAGCTGTCGTGAAACCGTTTTCTCTGACCTCCAACTGTTCTCTTGCCAGATGATAATTCCCCACAGAGGAGTTGCTTTGTAATTCTGGTGTCAGACATCTGATACACATGGCCAGCCAGAGTGTGGATAGAGGGGATAATGGCTCTCTCTAGTACTTCTGTATCAGGTAGTACTTCTGTATCAGGGATTTTCTCTTGCCATCGGATATTGAGAATCTTTCTGAGGCGTTTGGTATGAAAATGGTTCAACTTCCTTGCATGTCTAGAGTAGACAGTCCAGGTTTCACTACCGTAGAGCAGAGTGGCGAGGACCACCGCTTTGTACACTTTGAGTTTAGTTGTGGCCGAGATACCTCTTCTATCCCATACAGTAGGACGCAGCCTCCCAATGCTGCGCTGACCTTTGCTATGCGTTTGTTGACTTCTACGTCAATATGCACACACGTGATAGGGAACTGCCAAGATATGTGAAGCTGTCGACTGCAGGTAGTTTTTGTGACCTTGACCTCGATATTTGCTTCAGTATATGGAACACCCGGAGGAGGCTGGTACGTGACCTCGGTCTTCTTGGTACTTATTTTAAGGCCGAAGTTGTCGCAAGCAGTTGAAAAAAGCGATTGTGCGTTAAATGCTCACACTGGTGAACAGATGCAACAGAGCATGGACAAAAGTTCAACTACTCACTCACTCATCGAAGACTGCATACATAAACTGGGCTGACATCACCAGTCTTGCCAACAATCAAACGGAGTCAAACGCAAACTCGCCGAAGCCATTCACATCAAAAGCCAAAAGCCCACTATCAATGCCATTTCATCCCACCCGCTTATGGTGCACTCCTCCACCAAGCGGAATCAACTGAATAAACATCTCCTTTCTAAAATACCCCTTTCATTTGCACATCAGGCTTCTGACTTGTTGTTTTAAGAAATGTTGGGTAACTGGAGGAAACCTTCTAAGCCTTTCCCTTTGTCAACTCGCTGGCTTTATCAGCTTCCTGCCAAGCCATGTTTGGTAATGATGTTGTTTTCTTTGTTACACTCAGTATATATACTTCACCTCCACTTCCTGTTACGTTACAAGAATCTGTATTGACACGTCGTACTCACGAACTATAGACGTTGTTTGTCTATGTTGTACCTAATGAGACCGAGCGCCTGCAGAGATTAAGGAAATATAATGGCAAGCAACCCACTGATTGGGCTAGTGTTTCTCTGATAATTCCAAACGTATAGGTGCCACTTTACCTCAGATGTGCCACACGTGAAACCGTCCTTTGCCCTGATGATTTCTGCATCTCGAAATTTAATGGAAATGTTTTATGTCTCATGGGTAAAAAAATAAAGACTATAACAGTACATGCATAGCTTCTGTTGAAATAACAATAATTATTTTCATTGACTGCGAATGTTTCACTGTAGGCACTGGAAGCACTCATTGTGATACACTAGTAGTTTTACTGTTCTTCGTCAACAGGCTTACAATTTCTAATTTTATTGATCAATAATATAAGTATTAATTGTTCTCGTCCCGATATGGCTGAAATATTGTCGATGTGACGGTGAATATTAACTCACTCAGTCACAACATGTGGCGTCAGAATAATGAGCTGCTTATTAAGATGTGTTAATATTCTGTCGCTGATAAGTTGTCCTACTTTGTGACAATACTGCCTTTCCTTAGTTCAATCTTGGCAGGCGGTAGTTTAAGGATTTTATTAGCATGTCCTTACCACATATTGGTTCTTGACAAAAAGCCGGCTGTCACACGCAACAACTCATTATTCTCGACACAAATGCAAGATCACAGTGCCAGCTGTTGGCTTTTCTATATAGCTTCATAGACGCATAATTGAATCAGAATCTACACACACACACACATAAGGTGTCCTATATTTGGTATATTGATGGATGCTTTCACTTCATGTGTCTTTGACAATCACAATTTGATTGAGAAAACTGACATTCTAGAAGCTGTTTTTCTTAATGCTTTGTGTCATAAATAAATACGTCGCCTAGTGCCTTTAAGCGATTTTGCAATCATTGTTAATCATTTTGGCATCCCAATATCATGGAATATAACGTGTACGTATTAATCTATCAAAGTAACGGAACGTATTATCTGTATGCGTTATTATTATTGGGTGAAACTGTTAAATGTATCTTCGTACAGAATTTCCAGGAAATAGAAACTGGAAATTGCTAAACAAATGAAAAACTATATTGGGTAAAGGTTGCAAACAATTATCATTTATAGACCTGTTTTAAATTATCAGTGTGAAGATAATGTCACTAACATAAAAACTGAAGGATGGGTGTGGAAAGAGAGAGAGAGAGGGGGGGGGGGGGGCACGTGCAAAGCCTCTGAGTCAGCTGATAATATCCTTCAAAAACATCTAACAATCACTTATCATTAAGTGCAACCAAAGCATTACAAAAAGGCCATATTTCCAGACAGCTTAACATCACCTTTGGCCAGAGTTCCAAATATATACTAGGCACAAAAAATAAAAGAACCCCTTGACTTTGTGAAGTATGTATAATTTAATCAGGACAACCGTACGGTAAGTATGTCAGATATACTTAATATAGAGTGTGTCAACCATGAGCAGCAATACATGCACGACACATTGCAGGCATGCTTGAACACCAACCGCTGAATTGTCGCCCTTGGAATCAAGTGCTGCTCTTGCTGCAGTGCTCTATCCAAACACATCAAGATTTGCTGGTGCAGGCTCCCTGAGACGCACTCGACGCCCTAACACATCACACAGATATTTGATAAGGGATAGATCTGGTGTTTTAGCCGGCCAGGGTAAAGTTGTAACACCTTGTTGCAAGAAGTTCACGGCAACACGAGTTCTGTGAAGACATGCATTATCGTCCTGAAACACAAAATTTCGACCTGCCCTGAGAGCCACTGGAACCACGTGTGACCGTAAGATCTCGTCCGTATACCGCTAGCCTGTCACATTACCCCGTACAAGAATCAAATCTATCCTCCTATTGAAAGAAGTTCCTCCCCAGACCCTGAAAGAGCCTCCTCCATAAGAATCGTGTTCCTGTACCATGGGTCTTCCGGGATGTTCTCGATCTCCCAACATTTTGGACCGTAGAAC